AGGCTGCTACGGAGGTAGCTCCACAGCACCAGCGTGTTTCTTCCTTAGCAGAGCCTGCCTAGCCCTGAACACCGTACAGCGAGCGCTCGGAAGCAAGCTTTGCTAAAGGGAAGCAGAAACATTACCAAGGGAATTTCACATACCGACACTAAAGGGGTGTCTAACTCCACCAAGCAGTTGATAACATCAGTGTCGGCAGCAAAAGCTGAAGCTTTCTCTTAATATTCCCAGCATTTAATATAATGCATTTCCACAGACAGACCTGACCTCCCCTCTGCCCAGACTCCAGGCTTAGCTTGCTCCTGTCTGCAAGTTGCACCACCTTCAGCACAGCATGACCCCGATGCCTCCTCCCACAAACGAGATAAGAAATTTGTTTAAAATCAATGGGTTCAAAGTCAGTGCTGGGAAACAGAACTGGAAATTCCTGTATCATAGTTTAGGCAAGCGTATCAGTATCTGCCTAAATCCTTGCTTTTTGTTTGATCCCACTGCATGAAGCTTGGTTAATATCACTCGTGAGCCATCAAATGTATGGCAATACTCCCTTCTAAAGACGGCTTTGCTGACTTTCTTGCATTCTAAGATTTTTAAAGAATTAAACCATGTGACATAGATTATGTCTAGAATTCTATGCCTAAAATTGCATTAAAAAGCAAGCTTTTGGAAAACACTCACCTAGATTTCAGTTCTGAAGAAATGTTGTCAAAGAAAGACTTGGATTTATCATAATAGCAGTTGGGCCCCAGAAGGTCCTCCTCTGCATTACCGTCATTGTTTTGAGTTGCCACTCCAGGGTCCCCTTTTTCTTCCCCCGTCTCTGCTTTGTCATCTGAAGATAATAAAACGTATTACACTTCCTTGATGCATACTGAAGAGCCATCTGTTCTCTTGCTCCCTCAAACAAGATTTGAGATGCTGCCACATGTGATCATGCAGTTTCTCAGAACGAGTTTGTCTATGCAGTGTTTACTACTAGCTCAGTGATTCATATTTAATGAAGTCACAAACCTTTAAAGTTTAGTTTCTTCTTGAATTCTTTATCAAGTTCCTCTCTGTTGAATTGTGCATTTGCACTTTCAAAGTCAAAGTCACCTTCAAACTTTATTGTATTTTCCTTCACAGTAGTTGGTCTGTTTTGTCCTCTAGAACGGTTTCTGGTTCTCCTGTTTCCTGAAAGCAGGAGAGTTTAAACACTTGGTAACGCACAGGGAGGTTAAATGACTTGCTCAAGACCAGAGGAAACTAAGGTTAGAACTCAGGAGTTTCTGGCTTCTAGTCCTGTAGTTAGGCCACACTTCTTTGGAAGTAATTTCTGAACTTGGCTGTAGAAGACACATTACAGCAATACTTCAACTTCCTGCAAAACATTCCTGGATGTCAGTCTTACCATTAAGACAGAGTATACCCAACTTTCCCTCCAGTGTGAGGAGAGGAAATCAGAACAACTACTATCCCAAGAAAAGCTGAGGGAAGCGGGGAAAACTATCTTTGCTGTCTGCTATTCATCTGCAAGCATGGTACAGTCTACAGACCTGTCATGATGGCAAAGAGGAGCAGGTCACTGGTTTCAGAAAATCCGCCCAAGACTCATCTACCCACAAAAGCAGCTTGCATTTGTATAGCTTCTGGTTTCCAACTGAGAAACTATCAACTTCTTTTTGGAAAAGCTGTAACCCCTTCTACAGTGCGGCCCTCAGGCAAATTAATTTGAAGACCTGAGAGTCTGAACTTTTGTTTCCTGCCTTTTCTCATTTTGCTTGGGCAGAAATATCTGTTTGAATTTAATTTCACTTTCTTTTGACCTGTGCTTAAACTGCAGTCTTGAGATGAAAGCTCTGCTCTATGGAAGTGAGGGATCCATAGTTCCTCTCAGTTCCAAGAGCTCTGGAAATTCTTAAACAGGCTGCCCTTCCCAGTAAAAATACTTCAGGTTTCAGAGAAATCTAGTTGCTGCTGCCAACTCATAGTATCAATTTGTGTAACATACCTTCAAGTTTCTAGGAAAGACAGCAGAATTCTGTCCCTGGAATGCTCTGAACTTCTGTGACCCCAGAACCTATTTTGTTAGGGATGCATCTCTGGATGCTCAAAGCTTTATCAAGCTTTATCTTGCTCTCGATCTTCTGTCTGATAATCCTTCACTGAAATTAACAATATTTGCCTTTATAGGCTAACGCAATTGTGTAGTGTCAGGTTAACCTACCTGATCTTCTCCTTTGAGGTCTTCTGTTTTCATCATTCACCTGTCCTTGGGTTTGCACAGGTGCTGCCTGAACTGTATCTACTGAACAAGAAGGATAAACTTAATAAAGGAGCACAAGAACAAAACTGAAACAGTTTAGTCTTGCTATGCACCTCTGAAGGATGCTTCAAAACAGCACTTTAAAGATGAAGCGGTGCACACATACCATTTGCCTTACTGCTGCCCTGTGGAACCTGCCGTCCGTTGCGCTGAACCCCTGGAGTTACTTTCACTGGGGGTGGCTTTTGTGAATTCATGTTGTCAACTGGGCCAGTCTGAACAGCCTGCTCTACCATGGGGCTTTTGCGGACTGGGTGAACAGAAGGAAAGCCAGCACCTGGAAAAAATCCCAACGATTAAGTGCCTCTCAGAAAACATGCCAATGCTATTCAAACCCTACCCACTTCTATAGAGAAACCGTTTTGTCAAGAATTACTCAAAGCCTTGAGTGTTTATCATTACATGCTATGTTTAAGTGGCATATACACTAGGTAAGGCACTACTGCCACACAAGTCGTGGCTCTCAAATTCAGAGGCTTAAAATCAGGAAATCTACCCATTTATTTCTTAAACCAAAGTTAGACACACATTAGATAAGCAAGCCAGGTCAGTCTCTTAGACAGTTTATACCAAAATCTAATTCGAGGTGTATCCTTGGTTATGCAGGATTTTACTTTACACGATACTTTAAATCTGAAGCAAAAATCCACCATTTTGAAACTGCTCAAGAAAGCTTCCCCACTTTGTCAAAAAAGTTTCGCAGCAAAAGCTTAACCACCTCAACTTATCCCATTTTGTAAGCCGTTTTTAGAAGTCCTTCAACTTCATTGCTTATTGTTAGCTTTCAGACAAAGAAAACCTGAAACCAGACCAGGATCTCAAAGTTACCCTTTTAAATTCCTTCTTGGTCAAGGCCAAAGTGTTACCAAGACTTCTGTTGCTCTTCCATCCAGGCTTATTTATTCACACTACAAAACATGTAAATACTTTTCATGGTTTGGTATACCTTACACCAATTATATTAAAAAGTGACAGTCTTCAGTACTCAGAAGAAACACTGCATTCTAGATTTAATTAGAAGTTTTGGAGTACTACAGGTTTATGTAGTTATGCATAAGAACTGCTTGGAAGCAAACTTTGAACATACTTTAAGAGCAAGAAAAGTGGAAAGCTGAAGAGTACACACAAACCAAGCCACTGACACTCCTCCACATGAGATATACCCAGTAGGTAACATCATGCAGGTTCCCAGTTAACGTACACCTGGAAAACTTGCAAGGAAGACAGACATATCCTAAGAATTATTCAGTAGGACAAAGCTGCTGTGCAAGTTTAACATGAGAAAGTTTCAAAGCTTAGCCAGAATATTGAGAAAGTACGTACAGATAGATGGCCAAAACCAGAGAGTAAGTAAGAACAGTTTCATGCCAACACAAGCACACATGCTTAAGTTAAAAACAGATGAAACTAATTACCATGTTTAAATGCAGGCTGCACCTGGTCTCTCTGCTCTGAGGATGGTCAGTCTAGTATCTCTACTCAACCTCCTTTAAAAGTTTTTACACATAAAAGCAAGCACCCAGAACTATGTTATCTCAGCTTACCACAACTCAGAAATTGCTTACTGTTAGTCATGCTCTGCTAATTGGGAGTCTTGACAAGGTACTATGCCCCATCATGCATGAAATCTATCCTGATATTTCCTCATTTATAGCAATACTCCTGAATTTTCTATTAAGCTATGTCTCCAACAGCAAGGCCACCCACAATTTAAGCAGTGTGCTTGTCTTTCCAGGAAAGACTAATTAATTCCTTGCCCAGTCTCTAAGGTGACACATGTTCCTGGACAGGATGCAGCACATCAACATCCCTAAACCTCAGCCCTTTCCTGATACTTACACAAGAGGATCCGCTGTCCTGTACCTTTTTTCTCCTGTCTCTCTAATTGAGACTTCTAGGACAGGAGGAATAGTTCATGTAATGAAAGGCAAAAATAGCTGGGAACAAACTAGTTCTACTAGCATTACCCATATAAGTACTATCATTCTAGGAGGGGTTAACAAGAACAGAGTGTTTGCAAGTGCCATGCAGTTCTTCCAAATATTTGGAGTCCTCAAACTGCTGTTACCCTTGGAAGAGAGCTGATGGGGCTCTGAAGACATGTCAGGCTCTGAAACAGGTTGTGGAGACGGAGAAGAACTAGGGCTGGAAGCAGCTGCTGATGCTGGAGGGCTTACCAATTTCTCTAAAGAGATAGAGGGAAGAAGAGAAAGCAAAGATATATGGATAAGATAACAAGGTAGTGAAACATCTGAAGGACTTGGAAAGAGATACAAGAATCTCTAGAACAGCATTAGAGCAGCTTATTTACAGTCCATTCTGGGAATACAAGTTCTTTTTACATGTGATGTATAGGTAAGGTATGTTAGGTTAGAAATGAGCTGGCCTCAACTGTTAGGTATTCACATTACTTTCAGAAAGAAACTTTAGCTGTTTAGTTTGTTTCTTTCTTTCTTTCATGTCTGTCTGTGTGTGTGTAAGTGAAACGCAGGCCTCCTTGCAATAAGATCATTGCACAAAGTTGTTAACTACTTATTTACTGCTTGTTGCAGCCTGACACTTGGCAAGGAATTCAGTGTTAGTTACTGTTATTTGGTTTCACAGTAGCTGCATACAAGGACTGTACCTTTATTCTAGCAAGTAAAGTTTTTACTTACCTAAACCTAACGAAGCTGCATACTGCTGGCTAAGTAAAGAGCTGGCAGCAAGCTGGCTGTAAGGTGGCATACCTCTAAACGGGCTGTAAGGCACATGTGGCTGAAAGGATGATGTAGAGGCAGAGCCCAGTGAAGACTGTAACAAGACAAAGTACATTTCCATTTACAGCGTCCAGAAGTCAACTTGCTTTGGCAGTGATTCTCTACTTCACATACAGCATTACTAAAGCTTAAGTAAATACCGAGAAGGGTTAGTTTACCTCTTTATGATTTTCCTGCATTCTCAGCTAGGTAAACTAGCTCTGGCTTTTGTTGACTGAAGTCTTTAATGCTGCTGCTATTTTAAACATTACAACAAAATTCAGGATGCTTCAATCTGAAGATTCCTGGAGACACGTACTGGCCTTCATTTTTATAAGTTTATACCAAAATCAAGTCTTTCATCACCAATGTTTTATCATAGCTTCCAATCAACACTTCAGGCTAACTTACTTGGACAATGGCAGGATCTTGTGGCAGAGTATGTTGAGCTTTTGGAGGTTCACAGACAGTGATGTCTTTGATGTCACTTCCTCGAAAAATAATGTATTCATAGATTTCTTCCCTTGGAGGAGCAGGTCTGTCTGTGGGCCGGTCTTCAGTACCAAAGGATCGCACTTTAGCATTAGAAAGATTACTATTAGTCCAGTATTACCATTGCAGCATTGTGTAAGTTAAGACTTATGCAATTACAAAGTACTTTTGTAATACTTGCCAAAAGTAACAAAAAAAAAAGGTTACCTCCAGAACTCTGAATCTCCTTATCGCACACATCTGTTCCCTCAAATGCCAACTTTTTCAGCAGCCTGTATAAACAGTTTTGTTTACATCAAGCTGTGAAGGTAAAGACCATAGACCAGCTGGAGTGAAGAATCCTACTCCAAAACTGAGGACTTCCCCACAGTGCTACACTGCCATATTCCCCCTCCCTCCCCAGCCCCTGTCCTATGTAAGCATTCAGCTTGAGACAACTGCCACTGCAAGAGACCACAGGAGAGGCCCCTGAAGCAGCAGGGGGAAAAAAAATAATCTTAGAAGCCTTTAGAGCTCAAAGTTGCACCTTTGGTTTCATGTTTTTATTATCCACATAGAGGTAAAGTTTTATCAATGACAAGAGCTTCCTATTAAAATTCTCTCTACTCCATGCCACTGGTTTTATTATTAATATCCACTGACTACAAAGCAAGCTTTTAGTGATAAATCCAAAACCTCAGTGCCTACTGAGGCTTTACTGAGTCCCAGCTATTGGAATGCTTGAGCAGGTACTAACCAACGATGTTACACATTAGAGTGGAAAAAAAGCTGCAGTTGACTGTGTGGCAGCTACCAGCTAGAAGCATAAATTAATTTGAGCCATTAAAGAAGAGGAGGTCAGACTCAGACTTACTGAATTGTTAGTGCAGGAAAACAGGTAGCATAGTTACATCATTGACATATGAAAGCTTGAAATTTCAGCCACAAGTTACAGAAGCTCATCAAGTTTACTAGTCTAGTTGTCTTCTGTCTTTGTGAGGCCTTGCCAGTTCAGATAAGCACCAGCACATACTGGTTTGATGTATGCTTTCTGCTCATAGAAGAATTCTGTATTGGAGTTGCATCAATTGCTTCTAACAGGTTAGCATAGAAGTACTCAACCTCTCCGCCAAGACGTGCCATGATTCCTGCAGTACCTTTACAAATTATGTCTTTAACAGACCTTTCACAAGCACCTGCCATGTCACCATCTGTGGTCATGTGCCAGCCAGCTGCCATTCCCACTGCACAGCTGGAAAGATATAAGCAGACAGCCCTGCCACATGGATGATAGGGGACAGGGGGCACTACAGCTTCCCCAGAAAAAGGGCAGCAAAAAAGTGGACCCACTCAACCCCAGTGTCGAGCATCCCCAGTACACTATACTCTTATTAACTTACTAGGAGTGTTGACGGTTGTAGACAGGGCTGCTCATTGAGAGTACTGTTCTCAGAGATGAAAAGCTGTATCCAGGTGGTTCCCCCCACCAAGCAGCAGCTAGTGCTGCAAGCCATCTTCACCTCTGTTCAACATGTATGTCAGCTCACAAGGAGCATTAAGCTCCAGATACAGCAGGTCAATGCCAAACTTTGTCCCTATCATGCTGATGCTGTTTAGCACCTCAGCTTACACCTAACTGGAAGGGAATCTTAACTGGTGCAAGGACAAGCTGTCAGTCACTTCCTTTGAATGACTGTCTTCCATTAGATCCTAGGGTATATAACCTCTCCAAGTTATTTTAGATCTCCAGCTGCTGTTTGATCATATTACAGCTGTAACCTAGTCAACTAGAAGCAGATTATAAACTAAAAGCAATGCTTATGGCCTTTTAGATATGAACCGTACCACTGATATCCCTGTTCAAGATTAATTACAGCACACAGCTCATGGCAAGACATACTAAAGCTCTCCAGGGACTACTGCAGAATCCCCCAGCTAGCTTGGAAAGCACACCTTCTCTGAGCACCAGGATCAGCCTGTCAGCTTCCACATGGAGAAACATGTGACCTGCAAAGCCCAAAGCTGTCCAGGCAGCTTCGCAGCTGGCTGGTTCCAAGGTGGCTACAACTGCCTGACAGGAGGTTGTAGCGAGGTGGGGGTCGGTCTCTTCTCCCAAGTAACTAGTGATAGGACAAGAGGACACGGCCTCAAGTTGCGCCAGGGGAGGTTTAGATTGGATATTAGGAAAAATTTCTTCACCGAAAGGGTTGTCAAGCATTGGAACAGGCTGCCCAGGAAAGTGGTGGAGTCACCGTCCCTGGAAGCATTTAAAAAACGGGTAGACGTGGTGCGTAGGGACACGGTTTAGTGGTGGACTTGGCAGTGCTAGGTTAACAGTTGGACTTGATGATCTTAAAGGTCTTTTCCAACCTGAACGATTCTATGATTCTAACTAAAAAGGTGGAAAACTATGTCCTTGTCGTAGACAAAACAGCAGCGAGGGCATTTGAAAGGGCTCTGTGAGCTGAGCATGCCTGCCCTTGCATTTGAAGTGTTTAATGGTTTCTGGCACATCCCAAAGTACAGCTTTAAGTTTCTGCGGAGGTCCGAAGGGCTGTCTCCCTGTCTCCCAGTGACTATTGTTTACAGATGAACAGGAAATCAATCCCACACCATGCTGCAGCTAGTGTTTTACAATACAGTTTGTATTCATGTGTAGGGCTCTGTTGAGCTAGACTTCTGGAGGGTCAGGAAGCATAACGAGTGACTGGATGTCTGGAAAGCAGAGCTTACGTGGATATTTCTTGCTCAAAAACTCTAGTTTCTTCAGACTTCTACAGAAGGGGGAGTAAGTTTCTGATGTTCACTGCTGACAGGATAGTAATGGGCTTAAACTTCCTTTGTTTGCAATTTAAGTTTAGCATCTAACAAGACAGACAACTTCCTTGCAGTGCTTAATTAAGCACATGGAATCTCCTTATCCAGTGTTTAAGACATTGTGCATGTGTTGAGATTTAACAGGAACCAAATACAAATCAATTGAAGTTAGTCCGTCTTCGAGTAAGAGGCTGAACCAGATTTCTTCCTGAGGTCTTTTTCAACCTAAGTTTTTCTTCGTATCACTCAGATGATAGAAGTCAAGAGAATAGCACTTGCATTACATACTGAAGTTGTCTGAGCCTTAAACGGTGGCATCTAGGGCTTAATAATAATTTACTAGCTATCTGGACAACTTCAACCGCATGTCAGTAATTCATGGTTCTTCTAACCCTTCAGAGATCAAGTGTTTTAAACCACTGTCCCCCAAAGCACAGGGTTGATATTGCTGTCACCAACTTCAACATTGTTGCTATGTTCGTAATTCTGACACTAATTTTGATATAAAGTCTCTAAATTTAAAAAACCCTCTGAGCTAAAATGAAAAGCAGGGTTTGTACTGTAAGGTTGATAGAGCAGCACTTTAAGTAGGGAAAAATGTATTCTCCGTCCATTGTAACAACTACTTCTTAGGCATTCCAGTTCATCAAAACTGAACGCTAAGAGACCAATAAATACATGAACTGCCAGAAATCTTTTACAGAGCACGTACCTTCCCACACCATAAAGCACTTCAATCACATATGCCTTTGAAACACACCACATACAGTAAAGGAATTGCATTCTGCTTGCAACCTCTCTGTCGTGGTTTAACCCCAGCCGGCAACTAAGCCCCACACAGCCGCTCGCTCACTCCCCCAGTGGGATGGGGGAGAGAATCGGAAGGGTAAGAGTGAGAAAACTCGTGGGTTGAGATAAAGACAGTTTAATAGGGAAAGCAAAAGCCGCGCACGCAAGCAAAGCAAAACAAAGAATTCATTCACTGCTTCCCATGGGCAGGCAGGTGTTCAGCCATCCCCAGGAAAGCAGGGCTCCATCACGCCTAACGGTGACTTGGGAAGACAAACGCCATCGCTCCCAACGTCCCCCCCTTCCCCCTTCTTCCCCCAGCTTTCTATGCCGAGCATGACACCATATGGTGTGGAATGTCCCTTGGGTCAGTTGGGGTCAGCTGTCCCGGCTGTGTCCCCTCCCAGCTCCTTGTGCCCCCCCAGCCTGCTCGCTGGTGGGGTGGGGTGAGAGGCAGAACAGGCCTTGACTCTGTGTCAGCACTGCTCAGCAGTAACGAAAACATCCCTGTGTTATCAATGCTGTTTCCCGCACAAATCCAAAACATAGCCCAGTACCAGCTACTAGGAAGAAAATTAACTCTATCCCAGCCAAAACCAGCACACTCTCAATTACTTTGAGTGAAACACTAACATAAATAGATCCACTTGTACATTTAAACAAACAGCTATGTCACTAGGAAAAAAGCAAATTTAGGAAAACTCACATTTTTAACTTCAGAATACAAAATAATACGTGTCAAATACTCATGTCCAGCATCATGTAAACATTATACCGACTAAATACTGTGGCACAGGCTGCCTTGAGGATAGCTGAGAATCAGGAAAGTCAGTGTCTCGTGCCAGCAGATAGTCTTTCAAAACAAAAGATGTTTGGTTTATGGACAATCCTGATGGGTTGCTGAAGGCAATGAAGGTGAGAACTTCCCAGAACAGAGAATGACAAAACTCAGGGAAAGAAAAAAGCTGATGCACATTAGCTGGAGTAGCAAAGCCGGACATTAAAAGCAGTACAGAAATAAGATCTTGTTTGAGAGACTAAACAAGACAGGACAGGTTTTTTCTCAGAGTAAATACGGGAGTTCCCAGCACAGGTGACAACCGAATCCAAATGACACCATTTAAGCAGAAGATAAAGATCACTATTTCTACAGGGAAACAAGATGCAAAGCCTGCGAGGTAGGAAGAGGCAGACCCACGTGCAGATACCCCACAGCGCTCTGTACAGGAGCTCTCACTCCCTTCACCTGAGCGGAGTCCAGTCATTGATCATGAAAGGAACAAAGACACATCAACAGCAACTCTTGTTTTCCCCGGCACTGGACTGGGGCCCTGCTCAAGCCAAGCACCGAGATACTGCCGGGCATCTACGTACAGACAGGAGAGGGGAACCAAACCACGAACTGTGATGCAGACCATCACCTTTCTGGCTCTGACAATAGCCAGCATTGCTGGCAGCTCTTCTTCCTCTTCAGCGGACTGGTAACTTCCCGTGAAAGCCAAGGGCTCCTCAGCATCCCGTGCCTTGCCCGCCCCGCCGGCTCCAAGCGCC